ATACACACACACACACACACATACACACACACACACACACACACATATATATATATATATATATATATATATATATGTATATATACATATTGAGATAGAGAACTCGAGAGCTACTGAGATAGTAAGTCATGTTTAAGTAAAAACTAGTCTATCGGAGGATGTGTTTTCCGATCCAACTGAGTATTCGGCAGAATAAGGCCAATTTTTTCTATGACTCGCTTGATACATGGAGAAACGCAAACATTAATCACACTCTGCAGGAATGTGACTTGCTTCTTCTATTTTTAATAGATCTTGCTAGTTGTAAAGCTGGCTTGTTCCTTCTCAACCTGCTACATGTTTCAATCGTTTCTTGAACGGACCAAGAAACTTCACTACAATTTGAATAGTCTTCGCAGTTCACTCTTCAGTAGTTCACTACTATGCACTATTTTTTTCAATTGCAATATTTAGAAGGTATGTATGTAAATAATATTATAAACAGGGGGAGAAACTAAGAGAACCACTGCGAGTCGTGGTGTCACTATAGCCTTATATAGTCCAGCTCATATATTGATGACTGGTGGTTGCATTCCTGTGAGGTCATGTCATGATCCCTGTACATATGTCCTTTTAGTTTTTGCGTCATGACTAAGCGCCAACGCGGTTCTCTCATTATATATCGGATTTTTCGAGCTAAATACTTGGTACGTTTCGTTCGGGATAGGTGCACCTTTTGATTTTTGACCTCAAAACCGTTAAATATATCGCATGGTCCTCTAAAAAGACATGTATTTATTTTCGTGTATTTTTACGTTGACAATTATATGTACTTATTTTAAAAAATATATCATAACGCGGGTCGCGGTATATTTCGGGCATAGGCTCATAAATAGCTCGAGACAGTCGAGTCCGACCAAGCGAGTGAGTACTGAGTAGTGAGTAGTGGGTATGTACATAGTGAGCTAGAGTGACGACTGCGACTGACAAGTAAATAACAACTGACATGGCCCTGGCCCATGGGCCTGAGCCCTGAGGGCTGAGGCCTGAGGGTTGAAAAGGGGCTTTCATAGAAATTACAACGAAGCCTGAGACTGAGACTCTTCAAGTGGAGTGTGAGAGACTGAGATATTAAGAGCCTGAGCCCTGGAGTCCTGAAGCTTTTTTGTAATTTTGTAAAAAGAAAAATAGAAAGTGTACACAACAAGAGAGGCCCTGAGCCCCTGACGGCCTGAGACCTGAGGCCTCAGGGTTCAGGTGGTTAGGGACGCAGGGCTGTCGCAGGCCCTCAGCCGGCTGAGTTAACCGCAGAGAGCTATAAAATAAAATAAACTAAAAATAGAACACAGGAGAGGTCCTGACAGCTCACAGCACACAGGTTGACTACCTGAGGAGCTTGTGGAGTATGAGGAGTAGAGAATGAAAAGCATTTGCTTTCCCAAAAAAAAATCTTACGATTAGCGAATTTGGATTCAGGGCCTCGGCGTCAGGGCTCAAGCCCGTCAGGGCCTCGGCGTCGGGACTCAAGCCCGTCAGGGCCTCAGGCCCATCAGTCTCATATTCTCAGACTCTCAGAGACTCTCAGAGACTCTCACAGGTATACAGTCAGACCTGCTTTAAAAATATTAAAAGATACTGGTTAGAATATGAGGAACCCTAAATACACGTCCAGACTCGCTATACGCGCACATAAAGCCCCCCATAGACCAATAAAGTAGTTTGCTATAATGTCAGAAAGGTCTGTTAGGTATGGATGGACTTGTATAACGCTTATGTGTGGCTAGTTTGACCTAGTTCTGGTACAACCTGAAATCAATAGTTCGATCGGGATGAGATTAAGCATACGTTTATTATTCCTCAAAACGACGAGGTTGTGCAATCTAAGTGTCAATGAGATTGATTTTTTAAGGCAACTCTGGGTCAACCTCTATAGTAAAAATCCCCCCCTTTCACTGTCCAATATTTTATGTTGTCTGGGCCTATTGTTTCAACTCTCAACACTTGACAAAGCACAATTTAAAAACTTTATCCCATAGAAGAATAAATAGAAGAATCTCAATATTTTTCTATATATTTCATAAATTTTTATTGGATGTTTTATCAAGAATAATTTTTCTCTATATATAGTCGAACCTAATAGTAAATAGTTGTACTAAAGGGATAAAATTTTAGTATCTCATAAATTTGTAGCTACAGTATGTAGCACTTTGCGCCATGTATATTTTCCTCCACATTTTAAAAGACTCCAATAGAGCATTGAAAAATAAATACTTGCTACAAAATATACAATGCGCCAGTTCTATTCCTTTGTTAAAACCTTTTCAATAAAAATTCCTAGATTTCATCACACATTGTTTTGAATGATCAATATTTTTACTCAAATCCAACATTTAGTGTAGAGAAAACTGACTCTGAGGCTCTGATAGTTTAAAGAAAAAAGAAAAATATATCGGTCATTGGATAGAACATTTAACGATTCCTTTCATTTTGTAGGATGTGGGTGCAGTATATGGATTCTGAGGTGCAATATACCGGGGCTTTTTTTTATAGCTCCTAGTTTCATCAACATGAATTGGTTTGTTTATAAAGATACAGTACAGCCCAAAAGCCCAGGTTGGCAGGGCATTAAAACTCTGGCTACTGGGCCCAGGGCTTCCAGCGGGAGAGGCGGACTACTTTACTTATGAAAAAAATAGATTTCTGGCTGGTAAGTGGTAACTGGAGCCTATTCTAAATTGTTACTCTGGGGAGTCGGGGACTGTATTTAGTAATAGATATTTTTTTAAACCGTCTTTTCACTCTCTCTGCTATCTTCTCTCTCTCTTTGAGTGTGTGTGTGTGTGTTGTTTGTTGGAGTGTGTTGTACTGTTGTTGCTGTGACTGTTGGATAGAAGGGAATGAAGTATTGTGTATGGGCCCTACATAAATGATGATACATATTTGATATCGGGAATTTGGTTAAAAATAAAATTTATAAGAATAAATACTTTTCTTGGGTGAAATTAATAGGATACCACCAAAGCCTAAACAATTGAAATGAAGGCTAACAATTATTCCCCGGTAATACCCCTCCGGCCTCAGGCTCAGAGTCAGTGCCCTCCCTCGGTCTCTGATTCAATTGTTGTGCTGGGGGGAATAAAAAGATAACGGTTAAAGAAAATTATAAATATCACTATACTCCAGTACTCCGGCTCGTGAAACAGTAAAAAATGTATAACTCTCTGAGAGACTCGCTCTCCCTCTACTCTCTGTAGAGTTTCTACTCTCCACAACATAGTGCAGACTGTAGACTGTAGTGTAGACTGTAGTGAGTAGTCACAGTAGTCAGTGTAGTGACTGTGAGTCTGTGAGACAGGGTTATCGTTTTCGTTTAAAATAATAATAATATATAAATATTATTTAAAGTGTCCATATTTTGATAATTTTCAGGAGAGGAGAGGATGAAGGCTATGCGTGAAATAAAACCAATTGGCTCATACTGAGAGTTAGAGTAGAAGTACTTTTCATAACTACTCGTATTGGCTTTTAGAAAATTTCGTCATGCTCTTTTGATCGTATTCTACAGTTCTACAGTAAATACACTCTACAGAAGTCTACAGTCTAAACAGTCTACAGTCTACAGTCTACAGTCTACAGTCTACAGTCTACAGTCTACAGTCTACAGTCTACAGTCTACAGTCTACAGTCTACAGTCTACAGTCTACAGTCTACAGTCTACAGTCTACAGTCTATACCTGACCGAGGAACACATACAAATAAACGTAAAAGTGCATATTATTATTTTCAACGTTTTGTACACGTATTTATTATTTTAGGAAATACAAATATATGTATATAATTAAAATTAAGAATATTACTATTTTATAGAATATGCCATATTTATGAAAAATATATGGCATATTTATTTCATACTTATAATTTTCCTAAAAATATATTTCGTGCATGTTTCATATTTTTTATTTTTCCAAAACAAAATTGATACATATTTATTATTTCGCTTGTATAATTTCCCCATATTTACTATTTCTCCTATATTTCCACGTATTTAAATACTTCATATTACAGTGTATTGACATGGTTGGCTATTTAGAAAGTGTGACGATAGTTGATACTAAAAGTTAAAAACACATTGATAAACAGTCCTTGTGTATGCACAACACATATGCACAACGTAGCATTGTAATCTACTAAGTATGAGCATATATATGAAGCTTACACTTGGTTTATGTACATTAAAAGGTAAAAGATCTATATAATAAATAAATCACGAGTTATATGACATCTAAACACACATTTTTGTAATGTCATTATTCTGAGTCATAGAACTGGACAGAGATCATTTAGTAGTGAAGCAGGAAGATGTACAGATTAAGCTGCACTTGAATACTGTGCACTGGGGTGGCATATGCGCGCACGTGGGCTTATATTGACACTGTATATATGTCAAATAAAGTAACAATCTATGAGTTGACTTGTGTATATAATATCTGTGATTGCTTGTCAGTATTTCAACACCACAAGAGTATAAATCTGTATTGATTTTTTTGCCACCTTATTTTGTTCGAAAAATCAATGAATTTTCAAATTGGTAACAACTTGCCACCTTATTCGAAAAAGGTGGTCAACATGCATCGAGTGGAAACAGGCTAAATTGCAACTGACGCTATACTACTGGTACGATAGCTCTGAAATTGGTATCATAGCTCAAGGACAATACTAATGATAGATGTGAACAATTATTTGTATGCCTGTGAATTACAAAGTTCACAATGTCCCTTTTGGCAGGATATGTGACAAGTGTAGATAACGTCGTCTGTGACCAGGATGCGCTCAGGAGACAAACTATCGAACTGGCATGTATTGTGAAAAAGCGTTTTTCGGTTATCACCCGGCTACAATTGTGTCAAAATGGGTGTCCAACATGTGGGTTTGTAATTTTTGATGTTAGTTCGTCCTATTTGGTATAGTTCAAATTACAGGGTCTTTCACGCATACTTGCAAAGATACACAGCTATATATATACACACATATGTCCATGAAAACACAGATATATATATACAGACGATAATATATATATATATATATATATATATGTATATGTATATGTATATGTATATGGTATATATATATATATATATATAATATATGAGAAATATGGTATATTTCAGAAAAATGCCATTCGTACAATATACAAATTTACGAAGTATATTATACAATATAGTATATGAAAGAAAATGTTTATGCGATATTTTACATCAGCTATAAATCAGCTACTATACACTCGTACAATTCCCTTAATATAGCTGCAAACTACAGCCACTCTGCCTATATAATTATTCTACTATAACTACAAAATACAGTTAATATGCCTATATAAATCCTTTGATAGAACTGCAAAATACAGGCTATATATGCCTATACAATTACTATATTACAGCCTTGAAATACTATATATTATATTTCGTATTGTACGTATGGCATATTTCATAAATATGGCATATTTCAGAAGTATGGCATATTTCATAAATATGGCATATTTCAGAAATATGGTATAGTTTAGAAATATGGCATATCCATAAAGAAAATGGCATTTGTTTAGAAATATGGCATATTTTAGAAATATGGAATATTTACGGCATATTTGTAAATATGGCATATTTCAATTTATTTATTCCAAATAATATAATTTATGCCATATTTCTGAAATCAACACGCGTACTACATATTTTATATTTAACGTTTTCAGTGCATATCTATTATTTTAAAATAATAATACGCCAATTTTTCGCCATATTTATTATCGAAAAATATGAGAACAGTCTACACTACTCTCTCTCTAGTCTCTACACTCAGCACTGAGCAGTAGACTACAGTCAGAGTCTACTATTTACATAGTAGAGAGTCTCTAGAGTAGTAGACTGTGACCATTTGACTCCATAAAACGGAGTCTAAAAGGGAAACAAAAATAGTGCGTAGTGTTTTTTTATTTATTTTTAAAAAATAAAGTAAAGTTGTTCCCTTGAACTTTCGTGCGCCATCAGTGATGATTCCATGGCCCCGCCGCGGCCCGCGGGCGGTCGGTCTCTTCCTACATTCTCAATCTAGTCGCTGTCTCTCTCTCTAGCTAGAGTATCTTCACAATATACGGCCTATACAGTATATATAAAGTACACTGCACATTCGAAGTGTACATTCAGAAGTAGAACGAAACGACAGCGATCTCAAAATTACAACTTATTTCAGCATCTTTTACAATGGATTCGTCTGATAAAAGAGATGGTGCGACGCAGATTCTTACGCCCATGCCTGAGATTTTTCAAGTGAAAGTTCTTTCCTTGACGGGGCAGAAATTTCGTATCAATGTTTGCACAAGAGATCCTGTTTTGGCGATTCTGGATACATTGGGCAAGTTTTTGGGCGTTTCCACCGAGCGATTACAGTTGGTGCTCGTAAAGAATTCGTATATCCCGCTCAATAATCTGGAGCGGTTAGTGATTTCTTATGGTATTCGCGAAGGTGATACACTACGCTTGCAACCGGCGAGAATTAAAAGCGGCCCCCTCAATTACAGATCTAAGAACTGTGCAATGGATATTGCGCATGACTCTCCTAATAGGTCTTCGTCAGCAGCAGCTTCGGAGGCACCCAGTCTAGAAATAACAGTCTCCCAGGAAAGAATACAAGAGAATGCGCAGTTAAAAGAAAGAATGTCAGAACTACGATGCAGGATTCAAAAAAAGAAAGAACGGCGGGTCTCTGTAGGATTATAAAGCTTAATGGGTGTTAGTGTCACTTGTAGTACACGGTAATTAAACACGTTTTTATCCTTAGTGTTCTGTATTCCAATTTCGAACAATCAGGCACTTATGGCAGAATCAGAATACAATATATCATGCATTAGTATAATGTAATTAACGGCAAGCAATGCAATCGTCTGGTTGGGTGCGGTATATTATATGGCATGCATATATCTGAAGCAAACTTTCAATTCTATACTCTATTTCGCCCTTTTTGTCGCTCTGAAATCAAAATGATAGCTAAAAAGTCGAGAGCTGTTGTCTCGTAAATATATTTACAATATTTTGTCGATATGGTTGCTTCTACTCACAACCACACTTAATCAGATTTTAACACCAGTATTCCTTTGGGAACGTGGTCTAATGTGTGTTTTTTTGAGAAGTCTATGGTCTGATTCACTATCTGCTTATATGGAATGCCTGCAATCGTTTCGCAACAAATGTTTGAGCATATCAGACTTCCAGAATACCTCGTGTCTGCACATGAAGGCTTCCAGAGTACTTCGTGTCGTGTCGAGCGCTGTGTGATCACTTTTATAAAGCGCATCTTTAAGCTTTAGGATTTTATTCTCCTTTATGCTAATGTCGAACTTTGTTTTCGTGTGCTGATTTTGATACCTGGAGATAATTTCACCGGTTGAAGTTAGATAAACTCTATTTTTCTCATCTAATAGGTCTCCTTGATTGGATATATCGACTATGAATACAACCACTATAGTGCACGCTATATCATATTCGCCCTCTGATATAATTTGTTGCTAGCAATATCATAAATACAATGCGAAACGAAGCTGGGGGAATTCTATCGCTGGACTTTATAAAGTCAAGGAGATTGGATATGCATTCATTGGGCGTCTAAGGTGCTAAACTGTGCTATCCAACAGATTATTGTAGTCAGCATATTTGTATTATACACCGGTTGAAGTTGTATATTTTTTTCTTTTCTTCATTTAATAGGTCTCCTTAATTGGATAAATCGACTTCGAATACAACCACTATAGTGCACGCTATATCATATTCGTCCTCTGAAGTATTTTTTTTGCTAGTAATATCATAAATACAATACGAAACGAAGCTGGGGGAACTCGGTCGCTGAACTTTACAAAGTCAAGGAGATTGGATATGCATTTATTGGGCGTCTAAGGTGCTATCCAACAGATTGTTGTAGTCAGCATATTTGTATTATACGCACTCTGAAGTAATTTGTTGCTAGTAATATCATAAATACAAAACGAAACGAATCTGGAGGAACTTTGTTGCTGGACTTTTTAAAGTCAACATTACATCAACTACGCAAGATGTAGTTTTCTATGAAAAACCATTTGTTGCTTACTTTATTGCACGTTGGCATTTATTCGTAGCTGAAGCTTGTAATGAGAGAAGACTCCTTTAAAGCCATTTCAAAGCCCGCCTCAGTTAAATTTCAATATACTGATGTGCATGGATTATTTACGCTGATAAGTCTCCCCCCCAAGTATACGCTATAGCCCAATACGATTCACACTGATTATTTAAGGAATGTATTTCGCCGTTGCTTTAAACAATGGCGTTGACAGTCGTCATGTTTTCGAATTTGATCATGCACAGCATTGCGCCAACTAAGAAGGCAAAGCACATGAAGAACAGGCTAGAAGTCTCGAAAGCATCTACGTTGTATAAGATAGTGCATACAAACAAATTGAGCGGTATACGGAAGATGTTGATGATGGTGGATCGATGTTCCTCGGGCACGTACTTGGAGCGCATCTGCATGAAACTGGGCCAAAACATACCCACGCACATTTCGAATACGCAAAAAGCTAGCAACTGTCCGAAACCACTGACCGTGAGCCCTCTGGGGTTACCTAGAGCCATGGAACCAAGCAAGAATGGTGCTAATACGGGCACGATCATCGCAGCTGCTGAGACACCGAAAACGCTCTTCATGTACACCTCGGGTTTGTGTTCCTCGGCTAGCAACCTACCCGCATACGCACTTCCCAACATGCAGGCCACCATCATAGTGGAGAAAATGAAGCCGTGTGGAATATCCTCATTTGTAGGAGCAAGGGCAGGTGTCCAGAGAAACACAAAAGTATACATAGCTCCCTCGAACAGAGCTTGCATGCATCCCAGCAGGAAAATCTTTGTGTCGTTCCTGATCTCGTCGACAGCAACCTGGAAGCTCGCTGAAAAGGTTTGCTGATTATTTTCCGTCTTATCTCCATGGTTCTCATTCCAAGTAAACGTAATTAGACCAGCACCCAGTGTCAAGAATACGATCGCGGCGTCGAAGGGAGCTACAGGTCCAAAATCCATATCGCGCACCAGGTAGTTCGCTAACACACCTGCAGCTATGGCAACCAACCCATTACCGTAGAATACAGCCTTCGAGAACGTGGAGCCTAACCAGGAGGCTTCAAATCCACGTGAAAAGTGTTCAGCGACCAACCATGACTCAAAGACTGAGAATAATAGGGACGTTGCGATACCGCCAAAGAAACGACCCAGCATAAGCACATGGTAGTTGGACCAGTGCTTTGTCACGCAGGACGCGATGTATGTTGCACAGTACACCAGTGCAATTTTTTTCCGACCCACTTTATCGGCCAAAGAGCCTACAAAGGTCCCCACAATGAGTGAAGATCCAAAACCAGCTATAAACAAACGGCCAATGTCACCTTTGGAGTATCTGCTTGCAAGGAAAGGATAAAATATTAGAATCGAAGGATTGCATGCACAACATGTCCTCAACAAGAAAAAGGGGTGTACGTCTTGAATTTCTGAATGCATATCAATTAATATGGCGCTTCAATGATAGTACACACGTATTAAGCGAATAACCCTACATTTGGGATCCTTCTATTCTTGATATGAAGTCGCTGCTACTTGTATCAAAGTTCGAGATCATAAGTATACCAATACTCGAGCTCTCTGTTTCACTTACCCATAGTAGCTGTAAAGAGCATAAACGTAGGGACCTTGGAGCCAATCTCCGGCCATCATCAGCGAATATACGACGATATAGTTATTACGGAATGTCAAGAACGAGGAAGAGAAGTTGAAAAGCTTACTCTCCGTTGTCGCGGATTTACGATGGTTAGAATATTCCATGTATGTGGCACCGATGGCCAGTGCCCCGAAAAGGACTATGTAGAAGCTGTCCATTATGATATGAGAGTAGTTAAAAAAGTCCTATACTACTTGCACTACTGATGTGAATGCTAAGTATGTGTGCGAGGTGATCTTGAGGGAGCGTATAATTGTACTTTCGAGATGGAAAAGTATCAGAATGTCAAATCTCCAAGGTACCATTCTCCACTCCCAGAGAGTAGCTAGGTTTCAGATTTATCAGCATTGATCTATTTTGAAAGCATCATTTTGAAATTAACCGCCATAATGTCGTTTACTATGACATGACTTAAAAATAATATTTTATATTAAATTTCCGTTTCATATTCCATTATTTCTATATTCATTCGACCGATTATTTAAAAACTATTTTACGACAATTCCATGAAGGTTCTACATAACGTATTTAAATACTCCCTTTCCTTTTGAACGATCAGAGTGAATATCATTATATATTGCTATTGCTCTATCAATCATCAATGTAGCATCACAGCCACAACCCTCAGTCCCACACCCTCAAAGGGCCTAAAGCCCCAAACCCCAGTCCTCGACTTCCAAAGTTCCACAGCCATTCACCATATCAACAGCCATCACCATAGAGATCCAGTTTTTTGATGGGCGCAAACCGAGTTTTCAAGGCGACAGTCGGGGTTCTCCTTTGTTATGTTTTTATTTAGTAGGCGCGTATATAGCCTTCTAAATGAAACAGCATGCATTGCAAAGCCACACGCAGAAACAAGAGACTGTGATTTTAGCACAAGAACCTTTAAACTATGTGTTGGGGCTGCGATATGTGAGCTCTATACCATATTAGTGCTTGTTCTTCCTACTAGTTCTTCGAAGTCTTTTAGGCGGTATCTGTCGGCTAGAGCTAACTAGGATTTTGAGCATAGATCGATCGAGTTGAAGCTGCAGGTCACAGAATATATAAATATATATATATATATATATATATGGTATATATATATATATATATATATATATATATATATATATATATATATATATNTATNTATATATATATATATATTANATATATTAAATATTTATAATTAAATTATATAATATTAAATTATAATTAATAATATATNATANATATATTANATAT